TATATATATATATATATATATATATATATATACGCACGTATAACAGAAAATAGAGAAAAAAACAAAAACAAAGAAAAAAAGGAGATAATAACAAGACGAAATAGATTCGTATCTCATAAAAGAAAATATTTACAAGATCATTTTCTTCTCCAAACTCTGACATTCCACCTGAGAAAAATCAAACATCCATACACATATATACCGATATATAAACCGAAATGTTCGTCAATGTGCCATTTAGTTTACTATTATTCTTTTTATTTTCACTCTGTATATGTATAGATCTATATATATATATATATATATATATATATATATATATATATATAGATGAATGGATGAATGTTCTTGTTATTCTTCTTTTTTTTTTTCTCGTCTTGTTTTACAGCAGTACTTCCAACTCGTGTCGCACATACGTGTGATCCTTATCATCTTCCAGTCTAGGATAACATGGCACGAGAGCTTCTGGACTTCCAACATATATTATATTGTATGTTCTCCTATAAATATCTCGTACTTTCTTTGCTGGGTGAAATAAACCTTGTAAAAGATATTCCAAGACTTTAGCAGAACCAATTACCAATCGTGCGGCTTCATAGTAACTCACCACTGCTGTTACCATCTTAAGACGTTCTTCACTTATTTTAGTTTCATTCCGTGAGAGAAGTTCCACGATATTAGGATGAATAAAGTTAAGAAAATGAATCACCACTTCTTCAAATCCATCATTACCGGCTATAGCCATAATAATAGCCCGACAAGCCTCTACTGCCATTCGACGATGTTGAATCTCTGTTTCTGTGAGAGCTCGTACTAATAATGGGATAAGTGGATAAACATATTCTTTCCCTACACTACCAATAGCTTCAAAAATATATCGAATAGCTTTAAGTACAGAATGTTGTACAATGGTAGCTACCTGTTCTCCTTCACTAATCTTATATTCATTTAAAAGATATGGAATAACGGTAAAAGGACCACATTCACGGGCAATAGCTCCCAAAGCTACTGCTGTACATATTCGAATTTTACGTTTGTCTTGTTTAAAGTTATCTACAAGTTCAAGAATAATGGCAAATGGACGAATTTTCTGTGCAATCACACCAAACGTTCTCGTACAGGCACGACGTGTCTCTCGTCTATCGGCATCTAAAAGTTCAAATAAACCTTTTGTAGCCAAATCTTGTAAATGAATAGCCTCCACATCCTCATCACAATTCGTTGCAATTTCCTCAATAAGTAGAATTGTATTTAATTGTACATTACTATTACGATTACGAATAATATATGTAAGTTTCTTTAATAATTCTCGTACAGATGGTTGATACTTTGCCGCTCCCAATTCCACCAAAATAGCTCGAGTTGCCTTAAGGTTTGCACTCATCACCGCCGCCTCATCATCTTCCAGTCGATCAAATAAACTTCTCCCGAGATCCTGCAGAAAAAGAATTCCATCCGCCTCTTTTACTGTATGGGCAATACGAGCCGCGAGCTCTGCCGCTTGCATACGAATCATCCCCGGCATATCCCGACGTCCCTTAATAAGATCAAAAACTTGTCGAAGATATCGTTTTAATCGAGTACCCAGTGAATTACACACACAAGCCAATCCCTCTAATACCACACGGTTCAGTCCAGTTTCATCCTGTTTAACAGCAGCAATGGCACCATCTAATAAAAGTGCCACAAGTGTATCCGGAACTCCAACTGTTCCTACAGACTTCACCACACGCCTTACTGTATCGATGACCATACGTTGAAAATGTTCATTCTCATCTTTCATATCTTGTACAAGATACTGTAAAATCTCTGTACTACCAAGTTTTTTTGAAATAGCTACTGTTGTCTCTACAAGAGCTGCTGCTGTCTTTCGTTCTGCTGCTACTCGACGAATAGACCAAAAACCTTCAAAAAATGGTTTTAAAATAACTTCACGAATAAAATTAGCCGTTACCCCATCAGCAGATACACATTGTCGTACCACTTGTAATAAAACTCGACGATGTTCATCTTCTGGAGTATTAAATTGATTTACCAATGTAGGCATCATATCAGATGTATACTTCTGAGCATCATAAGGGGCCATAAGAGGAACTAGAGATCCAAAGGCCCGTACAAATGGACCTGCTGTACTTCCAATACCTCGTTTACATTCTTCTCGTACAATATATACCAATGGATCCAATTCTTCAATACCATATGGATAAGTCGCATCGGCAACATGGGCAAGAGCATTAGCGGCTTCTCGTTTTACACGTGGTTCATCTCTTAAAAGTTTTTCAAATATAGGTACAAGTTCAACTAATTCACCTGTAATAGCATGCATTAAAATAGATGCTAATTCTGTAATAGCACGAGCAGATGTTTGTCTTGCTAAGGCAACAGGAGAAAGTGACATACCATGAATAATTTGAAGAGCCGTTTTAGATCCTACAGCATATCCTATAATAGCTACCACTTTAGCTGTATGTCGTCGTACACCATTTTCAACATGTGCAAAATCTTCTTTAATAGCTTCAAATACAGCTTCATAACCTACTACACGAGTAAGTAAGGCAAGAACTTCTTTTCCATCTTCTCGTACAGCTGCTTCTTGTGCAGATAATAATACCTCCATCATATGTACAATTTCTTTAGTAGAACTACGTACCTCTTTCTGTAATCGTGCTATCACACCTTTTACAAAATCCACAAAATAATGTTGTTCTTGTAGATCAAGAATTCCAGATCGCCAAACATGAAAAGTAAATTGAAATAATGGTTCACTACCAAAAATACGAGCCTTATCCAAAAGAAATCTCATGGCTACACGACGTTGATTTGTATCTCCATTTTTAATTTTGAATAAATTTTTTATTAATAAATAAGATGGTAATACCTCATCTGGTATAGGATTGACATTATGATATTTGAGTAAAACTTCAAAAACAGGAACATCTTGTGGTTTCATTTGAGGCATTCCTTCTCCAAGACTTTCTGGAATATCATAAGTAACAGCTGCTGCAGCATCATTACTTTGATTAACCACAAAAACATCCAATGATTTACTAGCAAGTTCATAAAAATTTGGTTCTTCTGGTGGAGGTGGATTATAATCTGCTGGAGGTTCCACAATTTTAAACTCTGGTGGAAGTATAGTATCCAAATGCTCTTCTGATAATCGTTTATTCTTCATACGCCACTGTAACTCCAACTTGCGAGCCTGTGCCTCTATATTAGCCGTAATAGCAGACTGTGAGTCCCCTCCTGCAAAGTGTGACTGCACGGGCGTCGTTCCTTCAAATTGATAATTCGGTGTGGCCCCAAATGCCATTCCCGCTGCTGGTGTGGCCCCATTAAACATCGGCGTTGTTCCTCCATTAAACATTGGCGTCGTTCCTCCATTAAACATCGGCGTTGTGCCTCCACCAAACATTGGCGTCGCTCCTCCACCGATTGTTGGTGTGGTCCCACCCGCAAACATCGGTGTTTGCCCGCCTTGTCCACGCATGACGGGTGTCTTCACAGAGTCCACGGCGTACGCGCTGGGCGTTGGAGTGGCGTGTCCGCGCCAAGCGGAGAGTTCGGCATTCACAATTACTTTCGGGGTTTCGCTGCCGAGTTGCCGCGGCGTGCCGGCGCCCCAACGCGATGCCGTTGGCGTTGACGACGGAATATTTGCGGCCGACTCCCAGCGGTGCGTCTTGAGCGCCGGCTCCTCACTACCCTCCGCCTCAGACATTCCAACACTCACACTCACTCACTCACCTCACTTCAATTCCCTAGTTTCCCTATATGTATAATGAGATAGATAAACAGACCAAGAGAAAAAGAGAGAGAGAGAGAGAGAGAGAGAGAGAGAGAAAAAAAAAAAGAACATTTATTTCAAAGAAAAGTGTTTAGTTTCCTTCACTAGTTGAAGCAAGTCACAACATATAAGAAAGGAATAAATATAAATACATATATATATGTGAAAAACATTCAATTTGGTCCCATTCCCACCCCCCACTCCTCTCAGGAACAAACATACAACCGCTCATAGACACATACAAAGAAACACCTATACAAAAAGAAGAAGCAAGATATATGTATAAAAATCATATATAAAATTACGTCCAAACAGCTGTGGAAAGTAGAAAATCTATGAGTACTTGTGGGTATTTTTCCCGCATTACCTCCAGAGGTAATGTATCAATAAGGACTTTATCAAATTGGATACGAACATAAATATGACGTTTTTCACTGGACTGCTGTCCACTACTTTCTAGATTAGACATAACCTCATCAGCTGAGATTTCCTTCTCTTCCTTGATTTTTAAATTGGTGCTAACATCATCATTATCATCATTACCATTAGCATTATTATCACCACTCTTACTAGTTGAAGTACCTGTTGTGCGAGAACAGTAAATGCCTAGTACTTTAACTCCCAAAAGATTATTACTGCTGCTGGCAGCGGAGAGGGGCGTAGCACTTTCGCCTGCACCAAGCCCAACCGTATGCCGTGCAAATGGGTGCTGTGGGAATACTTTTGGTAGTGTCCGCATCTCCAGAAGATCAGACTCCCGCATCCTTTTACTACCCTCACCCATCTAAACAACAGTGGGGGATACTCACGTTATTTAGGGACATTTCACGAAAAAAGGAAAAGAAAAAGAAAAAAAAAAGAGAAAAGCTTAGAATACAGAAAGAAAAAAGAAAAACATATAAACACATAAAAAGAAACCACAATATACCACACCACTATAGGGAATAGTTTCCCTACGGAAACAGAAGCATGAAAATTTTTTTAAAAAGAAAATAAAATAAACCAAAAAAATGGCTTCAAATCATTCTCAGTGGAGATCGAACAACATCATCAGCAAACAACGAGGTACCGGAAAAGGCACTATCCCGATCTCTTTCACACATACACATAC